AATTTGAATTTTCAATCCATAGAAGTCGTTGTTTTAATATACGTAAAATAATCAATAAAGCGTTTTTTCATAATCCTCTATACAGGGTCCTCCAGCCAATATGTACAATCAAGGCTGATTGGGCAAGTTTTCATTTTAAATACCGAATTGGGCTTCAGGGTTTTATTTGATTCCTTCGTTAAGGTAGACCAAATTGGCCAACTGGGAAGTATCTCTGATTCGAGCATTGACTTGCATATTGTGTTTCCACATTCAATGCGATTAACATTGAAATGTTCAGTAAGAGTTGCTGAGGTATAATTATATATTTTACGTGCCATCACAAAATTGTTATGTGGTGCGAGTCTCTTTCTAATTTGATACCAAAATTATTTTCAGTTTGGAGAAGAATTTTCAAATCATATTCAATGATATCTGCAAATAGGAAACATGTAATTTGCTCCTTTAAAGATCAATTCCGCATTAATTCATTAGGCTATTTTCAAAGTCTGACATCACAATTAAAAAGATATTTCGAGAGATAATGCACCCTTGCTTGACACCAGCATTAGACTCAAACCAGTCAGTGCAAAAATACCGAAAATAACTTTGTTTTGAACATTGGAATAAAAGTGTCTATGACTTCTCCAACATATACCTTGTACACCCTTTTCCATAATTTTATAAAAAACATATACATGTATCTATCCAAAACATCGAGAGCTTTCGAGAATACCACAAAAAAATTTAGTGAAAAGATATGATTTCACAAGGATATCCTTTTCGATATTAAAGCACCTTGGAAATTACCAAGTGATTGTTTCCCCCTAAAGGTAATATGATTTCAATTCTTAAGGAGGCTCGAAAAGACTTTGTTAACATAAGATGTGATCGTTTATCCATCTGTAAGAATCAATATCTTCAAAATCACCACTTTTGTGCAAGGGTTTCAATTAATAGGCCATATTTACATTCATCTGGCATGGTTTCATACATTTTGATAAGGGTGAATGGATGGATTATATTGGTTTGATTAAAGTATCTTTCGAGTATATAATAAATTCATGTGGTATAGTACTATAGTATCTGATCTACACCCGCTGCTTTACCATTGCTAAGATTGGAGATAATCCCTTGCAATGGATATCTGCATATTCAAATGGAATGTCTGTTATTGCATTATCTAAAATGTCTGCCTCTAAAAATTTGATCCTTGCAGCCAAATCTATATTCTGAACTTCTGAACTTCTAAACATTGAAGCAATATGGTTATTCGTCACTATATATACATGTACATACGTTTTCAGGATTTTGATAGTGAAAGATGGCATGTTCAGTATGATAGTATTGTGGAAGACAAGCTACAAAATCAGATATTTTACTGTATAGGCATATTTGTAGATGTCAAGGCTCGGAATGTTTGTGAGGCTGTGGATGTGTGTCTAACTCATGATCATCTTCACCATTTTTGTTTATTCGCGTTACACCAACAATAGGGAGTTTCTGCTTGCAATGTTTTTCACAACCTAACGTGAACGGACAATATATAATCGATGCATTTGTATGGACAATTGGCCATACGTATAGGTTGGCGTTTCGATTTTATATACAAGCTTAAACTGACTATTATTACCATGATCACCTCGATCACTAGTCAGTATCGAACGTTACCTTCTCTCAAAATGGCGGCGATACCTGGAAATGTTGACTTCTATATTTCTAATTTTCATCGAATTAAATACTTTTTTTTTTTTTTTTTTTTTTTTTTTAATATATTTATTTATTCACAGTAAAACATTTTGTTTACAGTATATTTGATTTCTTAGTCACTTATATAAATACATAATACTTATTGATTATGAATGGTACGGGGGCACCAGTATTATATGAAAAATAAAAATAGCTTAAAATGTGAGTGGTCTTCAGTTTTCTTCATTTTTTTGTATACATCCTGAGTTTTGTCCATAGAATGTCATGTGTTTTATTTTTTGCGCATGTACTTTCTATAAGTTCATCATTTGTTGCATAGTTTCTCCATTCTGTCATGTTGGGGCGGTTCTTTTTCATTTTACACTTGTAGATATATGTTTTTTGTTTCAGGTGCAGTAAGATGTCTTCAGGTTGGCTGTTTGTTCCAAGAAGAAAACTATCTCGTTTCGGGATATCTTCTTTCAATATACTGCTGCATTGTTTTAGGAATTCTTTTACAACTACGCAGTCATATAATCCATGTTCTATCGTGTCCAGTTCCTCCTTACACAGATCGCAGATTGGGGAAGATACGTTGGGTATCTTCATTTCAAATAAGCCTTTGTTGAAGTATATGATTCTCGATATGAGCTTGTATTGGAAACAAATATGTCTGATGTTAACTGTTAGTTTCCTTGTGTTTAGGTATATTTTTTTCCAGGTTATATTCCGGTTTTGTAGCTTTTCTTCCCACTTCTCCTGTGTCGTTATTGCTGGGTTTAGTATATTGTTCTTTTTTAGTAGGTATTTGTATGTCATCTTGTTTGGTGACTTTGTGAACCATTCCTTAATGCTTGGCTCCGAGTCTTGTGTACTTTTGTCCTTCATTCGATCTTTCCATTCTTTTGGTATTGCTGATGTCACTTTTATGACATCCAGAAAACATATGGTTTGAAAGTTGTACTTTCTGATGATCTGTTCTCTTGACATTGGTTTATCTTTATCGAATATATCTTGAATGGTGTGAATACCATGTTCTTGCCATGTTTTGAAATTCATCACCTGTCCACCTGATTTTATACAGTCATTGTTCCATATGTTGGATTCTTTGGGGCATTTTATTTGTCTTGTTGATTCAAACTTTAGGTTACACCAGTTTTTGTAGCAGTGCATTAAGGAATTCAGTTGGAGCCTATTTATCTCTTTGTTGTCTTCTTTGAGATTATACTCCCATATTTTTTCTTCATTTAAGTTCTTGATATAATTTTTCCATATGTTTTTCCATTTCCCTTTACAGATTTCATCCATTAGTTTCTTGATCCATTTAAGGTTTAAGTTGCGTATATATGTTTTAATATGAATCATTTCGAGGCCTCCCTCTTCATATGAGTTCATAAGGACCCTTCTTTTAATTTTGTCTGGTTTATTGCTCCAAATGAATTTAAAGAGGATATCTTCAATTTCCTTGATAGTGTTTTCTGGTGGGTTGAGTATGGAGGACATGTATGTAATCTGTGCAATAAGCAGGGCCTTTGTAACAGCTATCTTTCCTATAATGGTTATGTTCCTTGGGGTCCAACTTTTTATAATGTTATTTATTCTCAGAATGGCTTTTGGAAAATTCAGATCGTTAATATCTCTCCCGTCCAGCGGTATAGTAATTCCCAGAACATTTACTTCATCTCTCTTGATGGCAAGATTCAAGGTGTGACAGTCTTCTTCCGTTTTGTCTTGATCTACGTTGCTTCCAATTGTTGCTATTTCTGTTTTGGTGACATTGATGTTAAGTCCGGAACAAGCTCCGAAAGTTTTAAAGATATCTAGTGCTTTTTTTTAGTGATTGGGTGTTTTTTAGCAAGAGGCATGTGTCATCCGCATATTGCGATATCTTTGCTTGTTCTCCTGGTATGTTCACTCCTTCTATGTCCTTGTTAACGCGAATATTTGTTCCTAGAATTTCAACACAAATTATGAAAAGGTAAGGGCTAAGTGGGCACCCTTGCCTCACTCCTCTTTCTAGAGAAAAGTAGTTTGATGAGTAGCCATTGTTCATGATGCAACTTTCTATTGATTTGTAAAAAGTTTGAATCCATTTTATTATTGAGGGGCCAAATCCAAAGTATGAAAGTGTTTTTTTGAATTAAATACTTTACCGTGGACATTCAGCTTTGAAGTTTCGACTATGTTAAGCTTCTATGACAATAGACTAGATGCGAGTAGAAATAATCTTGATTTACGTCATTAAATATTCAAAATTCAGTCAAAGTGATCTCATATTTGAAATCTGCATGTAAAAGTACATCTAGAAATATGGTTTCGAAAACTGTCTATCAACTTTGAAAATTTAATTTTTTTTGAAAATGTGACTTCTTGTTCGGGTTGATTCCCCATAGACCCCATGTTACAAAATCACAAAAAGTGAATTATCTTCTCGTGTATTGGACAGATAACATTTTCCTTTACTGGACATATTTTGATTTGCATAACTATTAGATACATAAGGGTTATATGAAAATTGAACCACGCAAATAGATGTAATTTAAGTTAAAGGGAACTTTCTACTATACCCGCCATGCTATCTGACCCGAACGAGCCACCTGGTGGTGAATCTGGTAACTACCTACTCGCATCTGCTTTATTCCTCAACCTAATAAATAGTTTCTGTATCATGTGTGAACGCTATGATCCAAAAATATAATCTATCGTTAACGTGAATTGCATGCTACGAGAACAACCCCTGCCTGTATTACTATCAGATTAAGGAAATCTAAAGCTCTTTTATAAACTCTTAAAGGCCCCCTTAAATAATGTTACAGTATCACTTCAAAAACAAAGAAGAATTCACGTTGCCATACCCTAACTGTTTACCCTTTGCATTCGTTTGACTTCACTTCTTAAAAGAGAGCTTCGTCTTCAGTTTAACTAGACTCTGCACGCAGGGTACTAACTGTTATATCATAGCGTTAACACGTACTCGAAACTGGAACAACTGAAAATGTTACGGTTTTTATGTTCCACGGAAGGCATTATTGACTAGCTTTTAATGAATATTAAATGATTTTATACCGATACTTGTTTTGAAATATACCGATTCACTTATCCACCGAAAAAATAAAATGAGATGTTGGTTCGTATATTTTTAAAATTTCTATTTATTTAAACAATACACCAATGTTTCCAAATATAACAAAATCAAATAGCACGTTTATGAGTTGAAAATGCCATTGATCTTTACAGGTCACATATTATATTCAATTTAATTGTTGGCATAACCCAAAGCTTAAAGATGTAGAGTCGTAGACGCCAGCGTTCAGTTTGATATTAGTAAAGGCGTAGGGCGTGTATTGCCTTTCTTGTTTCCACCATAATGTATGGTCGGCACCGTCCTGATTTATTTCTTCTTGCCATAACAAGATACTGCACTAATCAAGCATTGGATTGGCTGCCGCTTTCTCATGCGCAGTTCCTCTTTTTTGTTGAGGATTGATGCAATGTTCTTTTTGAGGTCCATCTCGAGAGCTTCTAAGTTTTCTAATTCTTTTTCATATGCGGAGAGCAGAGCTTTCTTCAGAAACATATCACCACCCTGAAAAATATTATTAATTAATATTAAGTTCTTTTTAATATTTTGTTAGTAACATTTTGACATTTTAATACAAAACGTCATTGAAATGTATTCCAGGTATTTTTTCAGTGTGCCATGGCTACATATGAAAAGTTTGATTTTTGAAAATACCGAATCAAATCAAATGCATTCATTGAAATTGGAACTTTCCAGCAATATTTTCTTTATTTAAGGAATTAAAACCAAGGTTTCATGATTAATGGCGCAAAATATGACCAATGATATTTTCGGATCATTATTAAACTACTGATATCGCAAAGCGATTGAGGTTTTTCTGTCTTTGGCAATCAGGAAAATAAATAAAAATCTATTGTCATATGTTTGCAATAAATCGTAAAGTTGAGATCTTAGTTGCGATCTTAATATGCTAAACAGATCAGAAAAACAACTATTTGCGTATTGGAGTTTATGAATTTATTTGAAAGATATTGTTAATATCAAAAGGTAGGATCGATACAAAAGGGCTAGTTCGATACATGTAGACAACATCGATATCATATCGAATGACATAATTGAGTTAATGGAATATATATCGATACACGACAAATGACGTAATCAATCTCGCCTATGGATGGTTATCGCCTTTGATTAGATATGTGACACCGAATATACTTTGCATTGTCAGAATGATTGAACGAAATTAATTGATGTATGCTTTCCAAGGCAGCGTGTCATTTGCGCGTGTGATATAACAAATAAATGAGATAGAAACATGATGAATGAAATAACATTACACCAAACATTTGTACACAATCGAATATATCTGTTTCAAAAAATAATCATAGCCATGATAATGATTTTTTCATGATTGTTATATTTATATCGCCATTCATAACGAGGTAACGAGATATAATACATGTACTGTACTCTTGAAAACAACATATTTCCCACATACCAATGGTGACAAAAGAAGCTTAGCCTCTATGAATCAGGGCGAAAAACGCATACCAGTTCTTTATTTGTTCGTTTGTTCTTTTGTTTGTTTGTTTGTTTAATTATTCACTTATTTATTATATTGGACAAAATTCCTTAGATACAATGTTATAAATCCTCTTCAGATACATCTTCGTTGTGTACATTTACTTTCCGTTCATTTATCTAGTTCCAAGACCATTAATTAACCTACGTGTAGAGTTGGTCTCAGCACAAGATAAACTCGTAAAGCCACACGCTAAAGCACAACGTGCTCACTTTGGAAATATAAATGAAATGCCAAAACTTAACTCTAGAGCCTGTGCAGGGAAGTTCAGGTCGTTTACAATCACGGCACGAAAATTGTTTTCGTTCCCAAGATGGGTTTCCTGCGATTCTATCTAATCATTAAATCCCATTGCGTAGGAATTATTGGGTTATAAGCCGACTAGAAACGTTTTTTATTGTCTGTGCTTCCTACATAGAATACCCAGAGCACCCAACAATTGGTCAGCCATTTGATATAGTTACACTCCACTCCATAATATACATACAGCACCCATCAATTGGTCAGCCATTTGATATAGTTACACTCCACTCCATAACATACATACAGCACCCAGCAATTGGTCAGCCATTTGATATAGTTACACTCCACTCCATAATATACATACAGCACCCAGCAATTGGTCAGCCATTTGATATAGTTACACTCCACTCCATAATATACATACAGCACCCAGCAATTGGTCAGCCATTTGATATAGTTACACTCCACTCCATAATATACACACAGCACCCAGCAATTGGTCAGCCATTTGATATAGTTACACTCCACTCCATAATATACATACAGCACCCAACAATTGGTCAGCCATTTGATATAGTTACACTCCACTCCATAATATACATACAGCACCCAGCAATTGGTCAGCCATTTGATATAGTTACATTCCCCTCAATAGAATAACCACAGCACCCAGCAATTGGTCAGCCATTTGATATAGTTACACTCCGATCCCCTCCATAGAATAACCACAGCAAGCAACAATTGGTCAGCCATTTGATATAGTTACAATTCCCTCCATAATATACATACAGCACCCAGCAATTGGTCAGCCATTTGATATAGTTACACTCCCCTTCATAGAATAACCACAGCACCCAACAATTGGTCAGCCATTTGATATAGTTACACTCCCCTCCATAATATACACACAGCACCCAGCAATTGGTCAGCCATTTGATATAGTTACACTCCACTCCATAATATACATACAGCACCCAGCAATTGGTCAGCCATTTGATATAGTTACACTCCACTCCATAATATACATACAGCACCCAGCAATTGGTCAGCCATTTGATATAGTTACACTCCACTCCATAATATACATACAGCACCCAACAATTGGTCAGCCATTTGATATAGTTACACTCCACTCCATAATATACATACAGCATCCAACAATTGGTCAGCCATTTGATATAGTTACACTCCACTCCATAATATACATACAGCACCCAGCAATTGGCCAGCCATTTGATATAGTTACACTCCCCTCCATAGAATAACCACAGCACCCAACAATTGGTCAGCCATTTGATATAGTTACACTCCCCTTCATAGAATAACCACAGCACCCAACAACTGGTCAGCCATTTGATATGGTTACACTCCCCTCCATAGAATAACCACAGCACCCAACAATTGGTCAAAATTGGTCACAATTTGATATAGTTAATGTTTTATTTCGTTCCATTATACCTTTCTGCATCCTTGCTTAATAAGATTGACGATGTTTTAGTTAGTGGGGTTAAATTGTTAAGGTTTTCTGGATTATTGATAAGTTATTTATGACACCTAGGTTTTATATATGATGATCTCTGCGACTTACATTTAACTTCTTAGCCCTTCTCTATCCTCAGAAACCTAATAACTGAGTCATAAATAATGGTAGTCGACAAATTCTATGGCTAGATGCTAGATTATCTAATACGATTCGTGTCTTGCAGTTTAATTGTGTGTTTAGCGCAGTTGATTTGTTTAAAAAAGGAAAAGGTGGCCATTTTTCTTCAGAGAATACCTGTCAATATTGGAGAAGCTAGCCAGAATCTAGGTTAGACGACGAGGGGTGTAAAATGACAAGACAGATAGCGCTAAACGGACATTCAATTTGTTTTCCATATACTGTAATTTGATTTACTTCTTTTTGAAATATCCATGGAATTCATTGAACCTGCACGTCGGGAGTTGGCTACACCCTTCTGTCCCAATGCAATGTCCTTTACTGGATTTAATTTAATAACGAGTCACTAACTTTGTAAACATTTGTAATTAATTACCTCTGCAACGCCAAAATGTCAGTTAAGGATATACCAGTGTAACCCTTACGACAATGGTGATATATTTTTAAATTACAGAAATAGAAAATTAACACCTCTATGAAAAGCTCGTTTGTTAACTTCACGTTTGACAAGTGTTCCGTATTAAATATCAAGGACGCAGAATGACGATAAATGACGCTTTACGACATAGTAATCCATAGCAACTAAGAGCAGACTAAGAGATTCTCATTTTCAATGTTGTTTTATCATGACGTCATATAACATTTTTGTTAATGGGTTCTAGGAATATGATACCATTATCTGTGACGTCAGTGACATATTGCCCCATCAACAAATAAACAAACAAATGAACTATACGTCATCAATTCTTCAAAATAATTCAGTAATTTTTTGTATATTCTTGTTTCAGTTTCGTGTCCGTTTCTTTCGTTTATCCCAGCAGTATATGTGTATACTATGTGCCCATGTATTACAAACACGACAAATCTATGTATGCGTTTTCATCAAGTAATATTGTATAGCCTATGTATTGACCAGGGGTATTTAATATCAAAAGGCAATTGTAAAATACAGTATTCTATTTTGGAATTTCTATAATTCATGTATACACTTATTACATGAACCACGGACACGGACACTTAAAGTCCGTGCATGAACATTAATTTATATTTATTTCTATTGAAATCATTACTTTTTTCGTTTTTCCTTTCTGTCAAAACAAATACCATCAAACATGTGAAACAAGCCATTCAAACCTTTGTTCAATTTATGTTATTATTCTATATTTTTTATAATTATAGTTACCAGTTAAAAATATTTTCCCAGTGAGTATAAACGACCATGATCGGACATGCCGGATAAAATGCGAAAAACGTCCATAGCCGTTCACTAAAACACATTATTCGTGTACTACATTCAGTAGACGTATCTTGCTCAAATCCGACAGCTTTACATAAGTGGGGACCTCGGGGTGAGGAATGCACAGGGAATGTACAACCCCACCCGAAAATCATCAAAAAGCACGCATGCTATATATCACGAGCGAAATCATTCATGCCTGCTCTGTGAGGTTATACTTGTGAAGGCGGTTCATTAAGACGGGACATGTTGAGTTTTCACAACTGTTAACCTTAAATATAACGTTATCCTTTCCCGAAATATGAACAGAAATATTAGCATATTAGAATAGGAGTCAAATATAGCTATTATTAGCCATTTTACATTATCGTTTATTGAATGAATGTCTTACTGGGGCATCTAGCCCTCAATTTATTCATAATTTATAATATTTTGGAATGATGTTTATCATGTGGACTTAGCTAGTTTATGTTTTTGTGAGCAGTCGATTTTGTTAATTCTTGAGAAAGACGTCATATATTTAGTTAAATTATGACGCGAATTGACCAGTGGCTTTTGTATCATTGTTAAAGCACACCAATCTTCAACGGCATTTTCAAGCGTAAAACAGACCGTTGACCCTATGTTTTTTTATATCAAAATAAACACGAGAACACCTTTTTTAGAATAAGCAAATAAAATACCACAATCCATTGGAAATTTGCGTAATTTTCGATTCAAAACGTGTCAAAATGCGAAAATGAAAAAGATATGTTTTTAATGGAAAAACGTTACAACAATTCACAAATATTGTTGGGGTAGGGGTAACACTTTAAGTGAAAAAAGTAAGAAAAAATGTCCTG